TTCTAGCGGTTCTAAGCCTAACATTACATTTGTTAACATCGGCGTAAAATATTTTTCTAGCTGTTCTACGGGCCTTTTTGCAGTTTAGATAAATCATCCTGTTCATAAACCTTTCAAAACTCAAAAAGGAAGGAAAACCTTATTGCTAATTCAAATTGTTGTGTTATTATTCCTTATCGCCATTCTCAGTGAAAACAATCTTTAATAAAAAACAGAAAAAAAGTTAAATGTGATATGTAAAGACCCTAGACTATTATTCCATGTGAAATATATTCTAGGATATTTAGATTCTTAAAGAAATGTCACATGGATATCAAATGTACAAAGACTAAGATACATTACAGTATTATTATACACTTCATAAGACGTACATTGGTTATCAACAAGATTTCCTTTCCAAACATCTCTCTGTCTCTGTCCCTGTCTGTCTGTCTGTCTGTCTGTCTGTCTGTCTCTCCAAAGAATGAAGAATATTGAAATTGCTTCTAACTGTATTTTAAGCCACGGCAGCAAAACTAATAGACATGGAGACCCTACCTTGAGGTATGCCAACACATGAATTATGATAAAATAGAAAAAAAAAGATACAGACACTAGATTATTATAGATAGATAGATTGGTGGAAAGATATAGATAGACAGATAGATAAATAGACCATAAATTTATGGGTAAAATACTAAAGGGATACATTACAAAAAAAATCTTGTTTGAGGACATGGCACTACTAGTCAAACTAACATGCAAAGCTGTCATAGACAACCTTTTCTTCATAACATTGCATAACGCGCAAAAGAAACAGACGGTGAGGGGAGAGGTACAGGCCACTTCTGGAGCTCCTGTTAACAAAAAATGCCTAGTACCTGAACCTCCCTTTGCATTAACACCTGGCGGGAAAAGAATACCCCCAAAAAAGGAGGAGGAGCTTAAGAGAAGTGGGAGGAGCCAACGACACTGGAAGAACCCAGGTGATCTTATAGTTAACTGAAGGACGCAAGGACTGTGCACTTGTCTGCGGTCTGGCTTGTGTTTGTGTCGTTCCGCTGTGGCTTTTGTCTTTGGCATTATTATTACGGCTTAAAGGTTCGTGTTTTGTTTGTTTTTGTGGAATAATACCCTGGCTGTTTATTTTTGTGAGTTGTTTATCTTCCGTTTATAAAGTGAAGTTTCGAAACTAATTTTGGAGATTGGAAATTGTGCTAAGATAAGATAAGATAAGATTTTGTCTAACGTTAAGGGAAAAAGCACAATGGTTATTCTCAATTTACGGAAAGATGTTACATAAAGAAAGTCAGACAACAGTGAGTAGAAAATAAAAATAAAGTTTAATCGTTTAGAGTGTACAACTTTTGCATTTCTTAATCTTTTAAATGCACACATCCATTTATCCTTTTACACACTTCTGTTTTTACATCTCGCTGTCTCTCTGCCCATTTATCTATCTATATACCCCACACATCACGTGTATCTACCTGTGATATATATATTTGATTACTATATTTTTAAAGAATTTCCGTATAAAAGGAGCCATTTATTCTTTAAGCAACGTATTCCAATGAAGAGACCAGTAACTGGTAATGGTATCAGTCCGCCATTATATGCAGCGTCATATCTCGGGCGTAGTCAAAGAACGCCATTAATGGGTACTTCCATTTTGGTCGTAATTTCTCTCTCTCTCTCTCTCTCTTTCTCTCTCTCTCTCTCTCTCTCTCTCTCTCTCTCTCTCTCTCTCTCTCTCTCTCTCTCTCTCTCTCTCTCTCTCTCTCTCATTCTCTCTCTCTCTCATTCTCTCTCTCTCTCATTCTCTCTCTCTCTCATTCTCTCTCTCTCTCTCCCTCCCTCTCTCTCTCTCTCTCTCTCTCTCTCTCTCTCTCTCTCTCTCTCTCTCTCTCTCTCTCTCTCTCTCTCTCTCTCTCTCTCTCTCTCTCTCTCTCATTCTCTCCTACCTCTCGCATTTATTCGCCGTAAAATAAAGAAAATAATGTCATCTGGTACAAGTCTAACCAATACTGTTTAGGGAATCAGCACACAAAGTCTAACATTCATGTAAGAACATTCAAGGAGTGTGACTATCCTAGAAGAGGTGTGGTGGGGGATGAGGAGGGGAAGGAGGAGGAGGAGGAGGAGGGGGAGGAGGAGGAGAAGAAGAAGAAGAAGAAGAAGAAGAAGAAGAAGAAGAAGAAGAAGAAGAAGAAGAAGAAGAAGAAGAAGAAGAAGAAGAAGAAGAAGAAGAAAAAAAAGAAGAAGAAGGAGGAAGAAGAAGAAAAAGAAGAAGAGGAAGAGGAAGGAGAAGAAGAAGAAGAAGAATAGAAGAAAAAGAAGAAGAATAGAAGAAGAAGAAGAAGAATAGAAAAAGAAGAAGAAGATGAAGAAGAAGGAGAAGGAGAAGAAGAAGATACCGATACTGAACAAGAATATTTGGTCTAAGAAATTGTACAAAGGTTTTCTAGCAATATAATGCTGTAAGGACCGGGCGCTTTGATGGGTGTCATCTTAAGGACCC